CTTCATACCCACTTATCTCTCTTTAACCCGGCGAACGTCACTATATCAGAACTAGACCAACGTCTCCAGTAATTACTGTAATAATTTTTTTTTCTAAAAATGAACTTTACCCGCACTTCATTTTCTGCATTTTTTTATTATTTTTTTGGAGGGGGGGGGCTATGTGTCAGCCTTCCTCTATGTGACATCTATGTATTTTTATAAAACCATAAGATGTACATTATGTCTGATGAGCTGGAAAACCAACGAAACTTAAGTCGCACACCAAAACGTAGGTATATATATATATATATATATATATATATATATTGATAGAAAATGAATAATTATCTATCTTTTTCTGAAATTCATACAGAAAAGGGTAAGTAGTGAATAATACCTTCAATTTTCAAGGTTATCACACATGTTAAAAAACCCTTGTCCGTATTTTTTTTTTTTTTTTTTTTTTGCAATAAACACGTTTGTTGCCTTGAATTCCCTCGACAGAATTTCATTTTAATGCAGGAAAGACACAAAATAAAGAGAGAGAGAAAAAAGCGTTTGATGCAAGATCTCCTACTGGGGTGTCACGAAAGTGATTATTAACGTTCTGCCGGTCAAATTGTTTTTGGTTGTTTAACATTTTACGATGCCTTCTTTACGTCTGGCTTTGAATTTTATTGAAAGGTTTCGTCTACTTTTTCTATTTTAATTGATTTATGAATAAGCCTAGAATGAAGTAAAATTACGGATTGTACTTGTCTGACTTATTGTTTGTCCATATTTACTTTGTTTTAAAGAAATAGAAAATAAAGATAACGGACTGAAAGTAGAGAATTTATGAAGGGAGAAAAAAAAAAAAAAGAAAAATTCACATCGTTGCTGAAAGGAAAATAAAAAAAAATATTCAGGAATAAGAATGAAAAAAATTTAATAAAATAAAAAAAAACATTACAATTAGAAGCAAAAGAAAGATTTAGTGTTCGGTAAAGAAGAAAATCGAAAAATTAAAGGGAAGAGTAAGTAAATGAGAAAGATAAATATGGAAGAGAGAAAAGAACGATAAATGTAAAAATAAAAGAAAGAAAAAGAAAGAAAGTTAAATATTGTAAATTTACAATAAAAAAGGGCATAAAAGAAAGTAAAGAAAACGAAAGAAAAATGGAAAAGAAGAAAACAGACAAAAAAAAAAAACGTAAAACAGAAGAGGAAAACAGAAAAGAAGGAAAAAGGAATAAAGATGAAGGCGAAGAAGAAATGCAAAGAAGTGAAGAAAGTGAATGAAATGCCTTTAAATGACGTGAAGGCGATGATAATATTTTTGATGAAAATATGTTTTTTTTTAATGTGTCTTTACACTTGCCATATGAGTTCCATTCACTCGTTTCTTCAGTCGATAATGTTGAGTGAGAGAATTTGAAACTGAGTTTGATTTCTCATTGAAAACATTCTCCCGTCGCTACCTACGAAATAAGATGGGTTGAAGATCCAAAACGTTTTTATGTTGTGAAAATAAATGGAGATTTTCAAATGGAGTTTTTCTTGAAGCTTCCATCATCATTTTGCCACTATCGCTACTTTTTTCTCAAGGGCGTAACCGCGGCACCATTTCTCAGTCCCGTCCTGAATCAATCCGAGGCCCTATAAATGACTTTTACCTTCCTTCATTCAGTTTTGTCGGTTTCTTCTAAAGTTCCATTCCAGGATCTTTTTAATCTTCTTTTGAATGTTTCCTTTCGTAGTATTTATTTCTAAGCCCTTAATTTTTTATTACTTATTTTCTAACCGTTTCAGGGAACATCCAGTGAGGATTGAAATTAGAACACCCTATATAATTTGGCGAGACGATCCTACCAAAATATCATTGGTGTATAATTATATATATTTCAAATACCAATACAAAATCAGCAACGCTCCCGCACTGCAATTATTACCAAGCTCGTTTCCCGTTGCCTAAAAATAAACATATATACACCCGACACATATGTGCATATAATAGTATAATATTTTTCTTACATATATCAGAGTACTCTATTTTAAATACTGCTCAAAATCTTTTTAATACACATAAAATAACACATTTTCTGTTATTTATCCATTAACAACAGTATTTCACGCTTAGCGATTTTTCCAAATGTGTGGCTGTTTGCTATTAACACTCGAAAGATCTATTGTTCTTTCCCGTTTTTCAAAAGTAATACGTAACAGCGTCAGTATTTCGAAATAATTTAATTGTATTCTTTCATTAAATTATTCACGTTCTAAAATTCAAAATTTTCTCCTTGATGAATAAATTGCAATTTCTGTCTTTGTTTATCTTTTATATATATTTTTTTATCATATACCATTCGATTAACAATTAATTAATTTTTTTGATCAATTAATATTTTTGTTTAATTTTGACTTTTCATACATATTTGACATGATTTTATTCTTCTATCTTTCGTATTTGAATGATAGCAAATGATTTGCATTGGAAAAATTAAAAAAAACGATCATAACCCTTTGCCCTTCTGGAATCATGGACGTCCTTATCCATCTTTCTACATTCATATTATTCGCTTGTTTTGACGCGTTTTTATTCTTCTTTTTGTGGTTCCACCTTCTTTTTTAAATTCCTTCAAGTTTCTGACTTTTCTTTGCAACTGCCTTTTCCAATTTCCAATTTTAATGAATTACCAAACCGAATCAATATGCATTAAAATACTCAATGAAAATTTTTCTAACGCTTCGAAAATGTGGGACATGTATACCTTTCAAGATTGACTTTCTATGTATTATTTCAATTTGAAAGTTGCATCCAGTAACGATGAATTTCACCATGCTGATACCTGTTATCTCGCAAGAGTTCCACTCAGACAGCTTTTTTCCCCCAAGAACTGCTAATTTTGAGAACAAACATCTGCGTAGATGCTTTTATGAACACTGAGCGATTGAGTTTGTCTTAAAAAAGTTCAAGATACCTTTTTAAGTCAAGGTCAATCCTTATCAATTATCTTTATCCTCATAATATTTACTTCTTACCACCTTCGCTTACATTCATATCACAAACCTCATTCATCATTTTAACATTAACCCTCTAACTTGAGTGACTCTGGAAACATGTGTCTGATTAACTTTAGCATAATTTATTTTGATAAACATAGCATTGTATCCTACTTTTTTCATTCTGGATACCTTTTGATTATGCAGAAAGAAAATTCAATAAATACACACAAAAAAAAAAAGAAAAAAAGAAAGAAAGGGGTTTAAGACGAGAATGTGTCTTCTCGGCAGACTTATTCAGCCCTTACTGATGGAATTCAAAATCCTACAGTCTTCATTATTGACGGCCACAATCTTAACAATATTTCGCAAAATACATTTATTGGATGCTTTCTTACACGTCATCAGTGATGTTTCTAGCCGAGGTTCATTAGGGTTTTCGGGTCTTTCGACATCATACCCCCTCTCCAGGGTGACCCAGCCGATACTGATCGGGTATCGACTTGTGTACCCTTCCTTTAGCTACAGTTTTTCCATCTTTATAACTACACACTGCGACTCCCCTTAGCAATTTATAACCCATTCCCAGATAACTTCCGGTTCACCAGCAATGTGCGCTCTTCCATTAAAAAGGAAGAAAACACACACACAATTTCTATCTTGTCAGAAACATGGGGTTGGGGGGGGGGGTGGCGTGCTCGGCTTGAAGTGGTAAGTATCGATTTGTTTCCCTCACTGAGACATAGACACACACATGCTCATTTACGAAACATAATATATGTAAATGTCTGTGTTGTTAGCCGACAATGCAAGAAACCATGTCAAAGGAAAGTGAGAAGAAAGGACTAAATATCAATTGAAAGAAAATAGAATGCATGGTTGTCAGCAAAAGGAACAGTCCATGATGCGAACAGTCCAAGATTCGAGACAGAAAAAAGAGTACAAACATTTAAATACCTAGGTAGTGTTTTAACAGAGGACACAAAATTCGAAATGGAAATCTGAAGGACATTGGAATAGTAAAACACGTCCTTCAAAGGCTAAACATAGGAAAAGATTCGTTATAAACAAGGAAAAGAGCGCGCTTAACTACTACGTAATATCACTCTTCCTATATGGCAGTCTTCTTCACAAAAGAAGAATAGATTTGGACAAAGATGTTCTTTTACAGAAGAATACTGAGAATACCATGGACCGAACATGTGATTAATGACGAAGAAAAATGAAAATAAATGGACACTTATACTTTACACAAGAACAAAAAAAGCAATTGTAATTTCTAGGGCACATAACGGGGAAAGAGGGTGAATTTTATACTTACCGGATATATTGAAGGCAAGTGATACAGTAGAAAGTAGCGAATAACCTCACTAACAAGTTTCTGTAAATGGTTGATACAACAGGGTTTAAGAGAGATAGCAAAATGTGTACACCTTACTAAGAGCGACAAAGGAGACAAAGTTGTGGAGGGCGATAATCGCCAACAACCCAAAAGGATATCGTTCATATTGTTCACGAAGGGATATTGTTTCCATAGCCTCATTTTTGTCTCCCTAAGCTATTTATCCCTCTTTCTTGCTAATTCTTATTTTTCACTGACAGTGTTCTGCTTTTTTCCTTCTTTTTCCCTTTTTTTTCTCTCCTTTTCCTTTTCTTTTTCTGTCGCCCACTTCCTCTTCTCTGTTTCTATTTATGGTCCACTTTTTCTATTTTCTTTGAGGTCTTTATTTCTTTTTGTCCTTTTTCATCACATGTTGCCCTTTCCTCTTTTTTCTTTTCCGTTACCCAGTCTTCACTTCTAAAAGACTTTTCCTTTTTCTTTTATTTCTCTTTCTTTTGCCGTCTCCTCATTCTCTCCCCTTTCTTTCCCTCTCTCCCCGCTTTTATTTCCCCGCTAACGGTATTTTCTTTTTCTCCCGCCAATCTTTCACCATTTTTTAGGATTCTCTTCAAAAACTCAGTTTCCGTTAAGGTTTCATTATATGATTTTAAAGGCTGAATTATTTATTTAGTTAGTCACCTCTTCAAAGATTGCA